GATTGATTTTAGACTGAAATTTCTATCAGATCCCAAACCTATGAACTTAAGAATTTAAGTTAGACTGATAATTAGTAGCATGATTTTTCAGGTTTTTACCCATATCAGTGATTTTGGGATTTTAAAATGTATCATAAAGGTAAAATGCCACTTTTTCTTTATTTTATCATTGGTGAATAGATTTCTCTTCTGCTTATATTAAAGTGAGTCAGAATTTAAAAATTCTGCTCTCAAAGATCTTTAAGATCCTGCTCTCAAAAGGTCAGGATCTATTTTCTTAGTGGAGTACATTGGTTATATTAGTATGGAACTTTTTACATGCCTATGGAAGAAATACTTTTATAATATCACTGATAGAAATATCTATATCATCTATATCACCTATATCTATCTATATGGAATGCAGGAATATATATATGGTGCAGGAATGAAGGGAAATCCATTCAAGATCATTTTTTTGATCAGACACTTACATTTCCTACTCATAAATTATAAAGATTACCTTTAAATTTTAAGATCTGAAATATTTTCAGTGATGCCTACAGAAGTATCTGTGCTAAATAACCAGTAAGGAGAGAAAGTAAAGACACATGTATAAGTTCATTTCTGAAGTTAAGACTTTATTTAGTCATAAAATTTAATGTTATAGATATTAATACTTTCTGTGGGCTAGTCTTTTCCAGTAACCACTGTCTGTTGTTTTGGTTGATACTAAACTTAGGCATTCACTTAGACTCCTGGCCTGCCTCCTGGTGGTCACAGTAACTGCTGGCCTAAATGTATATTTTTACATGTTATTTAAGTCAGTTTATAAACTGCTTCCTATGACACAAAGAATCATTTTGAAAGTGGGAAAATTCATGTTCAATTTGTTAATCTTAAGGTATCATTGACCTTTCACCTTTTTCTGTTCCATTTGTTGAGGAATGAGTTGTGTAGTTGTCTTTGTGTCCACCATGGCTGCCTTCTGTATCTAGCACAGGTGTTGTGGTGGTATGTCTCTCAGTGTGGACATACCATGGCACCGAACCTGTTTTTAAAAAGAGTGAAAACCAATTGGTCTTATTTGTCAGCCTCTTGATTATATAAGACGAGTACAATTGACCTATTTTTTCATACAGAAGTAATTTTTCCAAATGGGTATTAGCCTATTCATGAGCAATAAGAATCTTCAGTATCAACAAAGAAAATTGTATTTCACCAGCCATGGTGGGAGGAAAACAAAAAAAAAAAAAATCAAGTCAGGTCAACAGGTGTAGTGAGTGGGCTCTAAGAGTAAAAATAAAGAAATCTGATTTGGCTACTTCTGCTTGTGCTGAGAACCTGTATTAATAATATTTACATCAATTTCAGTGTCCTCGAATGCTTACTGTGTTAATATTGCCAAACCATTATACCAATGGTGGCAATGGCAGTAATTGTTTTGTGGCTTTCTGTTGAAGTTCTCAGACTATAGCCATAATATATCCTTTTTTTTTTTTCATCCTGTTTCTGTCTCCTGCTACCCCTGACACTCCATGACTTTCAGACTGGCTTCTCTACAGCATTTGATATATGCTAGAGTGGTGTCTGGCACATCATAGGCACTCAGTAAATACTTTTGATTGAATGGGCATCGTTGTAGTTACTTTTAACAGTTGCTGCTTTTCCTACTACTCTTGTTAGGAGAGCAACAAAAGGTAGGGAGAGTGTGACTTTTATTTTAATATTTTTCAGCCCAAACTTTTACTGATGCACTCACAAAGAACTGAAACTTCAGTTTTGGAAACCATCTGTGGTTCCTTAATGATGATAAAAAAATTCCCCAAACATTCAGAAAGTATGTTTATATGGCAGCCCAAAGTGACATTAACCCTGAAGGGGCCATAGAACTAATGATTATGTATTTAGAAGTATAACAATCATTGTAGGAATAGAAATATTTGACTTATAATGGAAAATTAAATTGTGCATTTTCTGTTAGGCTTTTATATATATATATATATATATATATATATATATATATATATATATATATAATACTCAAATAAGCCTATTCCACCATTTACTTAATTAAAACGGAACTTTGTTCAAATAGATAATGTCACACGTAGCAAAATTTCATACTGAGCCACTGACTAGATTTTAGTTAGAATGCTAGAGATTATGACTAAACAAAGAGGTCTACATCAGCACCTTCTGGGATACACACATGACAAACAGTATAGATTTGTGTACATTAAGTTTTGCTGATAATAATTATCATTAACAATTAGGTACCTGCATAAGCAAGAGGCAAAAGTGTAAACTGGAACATTTGAAAAAGGGAATAAACCTTCAGATGATATGACACCAGGCTAGTTTTTCAATGTTTTCAAAATCAAATGGAATAAGTATTTTCTTCCTGATTAATTTAGTCTTAATAATTTAGAGTCAGATAAAGTAAAAAAACAAAACATAAACAAAACAAAACAAAAACTGTGATTAGCCCAAAATGTGACATAACAATTAAGCGGTTTGGTGGAGCCATTTGACAGAGTTGTTAAAAATATGAGATTCAGACAAACCTTGGTTAGAGTCCAGATTCCACCACTCACTGGCTCTGTAACAATTAAGTGGTTAGCCTAGTGCTGGTCATAGAAAAAGCATGTAGTAAACATTATACCCTGTCAGGAACTTTATAAAAGCCTTTGGGTCTTTCCTAAAGCATATAATGTTTCCCTCTTTATTGAAAAGATTAGAAGCATGGAAAAGATTAAGTAATGTCAATGTGTTTGCTGTAAATACATAGAGAACTGTATTTATTTCTACATTTACAGATATAAAAAATGTACCTTACGCATGTATGGATTTATGACTATGCTCCCCAAGACATATATATATTAATACTTACTTTCCTTTGGTTGTAGATTTTTATTCAGGGAAATAGTTTTCAAGAATTTCAATGTGCTGGTAATATACTGCTCCATGCATGCCTTTATTTGCACATGTAGAAGTTATCAGCTAGAATATTTGTTTTCTTTGTGAAAGTCTCATTTATGTTAACTTAAAGAAGTACATACTTAGTGGAAGAATTTATCATTTATGGCTTTTTTATTATGCTATCTTAAAAGATGCTTTCTGTCTCTTAGGTAAATTGGTGGATGAAACTGGAGAATACAAATACATGTATATGGCCTGTGGAGCTATTGTGGTCCTGGCAAGTATATGGCTGCTCATTGGCAATGCTATAAACTATAGATTGCTTGCAAAGGAAAAGAAGTTGGAAGAAGAAAAGAAGAAAATACATAAACTTGAATCCGGAGAATCTGAACCCTTGAGCAAGCCTAACCAGTATGATGCTACAGTCCAAAGAACAGGGAGTCTTCCCTCGGAAAGAGAAACTAATATATAGCAAGAACCACGCCTCTGATTTCAGTGTTTATGATTTTCTTAAGAGCATTTTTTTCCAAAATATTAGAAAGGTTTTTAGTTGAAATAAGGCATCATAATTAAGGATGGAGATGAGATTTTCCTCAATGGCGAGTTTTAAATGTTTGATTTTTAAAATTAATTCGGGCAGTGAAATTTTGAGATTATGCACATAAAGAATCAATGCAACAGGTTTATTTCTGTACATGACTCTGGTTGTGGTGGTTAAAATAACTTTAAAGCCTTCCAGTCTTGGTTATAGAGAGCTGCATTCCAAATTCCTGGTTTAGGTAGTTAGAAGGACTATATTTAATCCTCTAAGAATGCCCTCTCCACATTTCATTTTTTATTTGATATTAAAATGTGAAATGGAATTAAAGGGAAATGAAGTGTACACGTACCTGTATGCACACGGAGTATCTGGAGAACAAAACACATATAAGTTAAAAAAAAAATATTATCACCGTACTACTTTTATTTTTTAACTTAAAAAAAAAAATCCATGGAGAAAAAAAGAAATGTATTACATCTGCATACTACTTTACAGTGTGGATTTTAAAGATAAGGACATGGATGAAAATGAGATGATCTTAATTCGAAAATGCAACTACTGTTGGGAAAAAAAAAAGCTTTTGCATGTTTATAATAAAATTGAAGAAAAGAAGATACTCCATTTTACACCATTGTTTCTGAGCACTGTTAGATTTGATTAATCCTGGCACATGATTTCTTTGAGGGGGCCAGTAGTACCCGGTGCTAGAGAATAGAACCCTCCAATAATTTTCAGAATATTTACCTTATATGTAAACTAAAGCCTAAATAACTCCAAGAAATGAGCTCTGTCCCTTAAAAAGGATTTTTGTTAGTAATCCAGCAAGTAATAACCATGGATTTCTCTTAACTCCTCAGACTCACATTGACAATGAGACATCAAAGTGGAATCAGCCAGAATCCTGGTGGACAGGCTTACAGATAGGCTGAATTCTACTTTATCCCAACACACAGTGGTGATCAGGAGGTCACTATTATGAGTAATCCATTTGAGTAAAGCTAAGAGTGGGAGGTGCTTTTAATGAGCCCTCTGAACTCTCTCGTTTTCCTCCCTTCACCAAAATGCAAAAGTAAAAATATAACCCACAAAAAAACAAACAAACCAGAAACCATAAATAGGCTTTTTACTCAAACACTGAAAAATTGCCTCATATTATAGGAATGGCAGCACTTAAAAATTCTGCCCTCTACTGACTGGACTTCCTGCTGCCTGTGAACATAAACTAAACTAGGAGATTGTTGGAAAAGGCTTCTAGAACTGGAGGCTGTGTGTGACTTGGTAGACACTTGTGAAGTGTAGATATGGTGCATAACAAGATAGCAGGAAGCTTTTAAAACCGTAACCCAGGTTAATGTAGCAGTTTCTCATTTTCCTAATTATGTGAAAACATTTGGGAATCTGAATCACTTGAATCCAGAGGCATATGATAGTTGCGTGCATTCAGAACAATAAATACCATTTGAGTGATAAAGTGCTTTTAAACAAGAAAGACATTGTGCATCATGGCTAACATTATAAATATTTACATCTGCAAATCTGAAGTTTAAGATCATGGTTAATAAAAACCATTTAGTGCTTGATTATTGAAGTGATGTCACTCTTAAGATGTCAAAAGAAACTTGCCGTTCATATTTTTTTTTTATTGTTATTGCAGTAGAGACAGGTGCTATTCTTGTTTCCTATAGGATTATACCTGGATACCAAGCTTTTCTGATAGTTAACGTTAAGGATTTTATTTGTAAAATTTATGCACTGTTTAAGCATGTGGGTCATATTTAGGAAGCTATATACAATTCCATATTTCATTTAACATTCACTTTTTGCATGTGAATAGGTATTTGTATTTCTCGAATATTAAGTAAATCAATATGTGCCAATATTATAGGTCAATTAATCAGGGAAACGTGGTAGCATATGATTGTTTTTGATTTAATTTCTCCCAATCTTGATTCTGGAATGAGCTATTTTCATATTGTTCGTGCTTTTGTATTCAACTCTGACTCATCATAAGAAATGCAACATTATAAATTGTGTAGGAGCTTTTCAATATTAAACATTTTCAAAAACTATCTTGAATTCTCTGAAGACATTTAACTTAATATAGATATCAGACTCCAGGGGGTAATAAACAGCAAAGTACTTGATCGTGGGGTTTTAAGTCTAAGGCTGTAGTCCGTTATATCACCTGCTGGTCGAGACTTGCTGGTGGGTACATTGCAGTGGCTCTCTTTATGAAAGGAGATTTTTTACATACTGATGAATTCCTTGTCATGTCAAAACCAGTTCATATTCATTCCATTGCTCTTTGTCCAGTTTCATTTCCAACACTGATTATATTAAATTCTCAAAAAAGATAGGGAAGGGAAGCTGCATATTCAAAGCACAGGATGCGATGTGTACAGTCGTGCCTGGGAGCAGCACTGCACAACGTTGCAGATATGCACACACATAAATTCCCATCCGTACATGTGGAAAATTAAATCAGCACATACTGAAAACGATGACATAAACTCATGTACAGGATTCAGACTTGTTCCAGGGTAACGTACATTTTTCTACTTGTTCACTCTTCCCACTCCCTTGAGCTTGTTAGAATATTTGTTGCTTTAACAGAATCTTTCAAAGATTGACAAGAGAATACCAACCTAGAAAATTCATTATTATATAGTCACATGCACGGAGGAGGAAATATAGTTGACTTCTGTGCCTGTAACAGTTTCTTTCCCTAGGGAAAGGATATGTTTTAGATATTCAACATATCATGAAGTAAAATCACAGAACACCAAAAAAGTCCCTGTGAAGTCCCATTGCCCTATCATGAAATGGTACAGAAGTAAGGTTATCATAACCCAGGGTACCAAAATAATGCATGATCACTGACTCATCTGTTTTTCCATTTGTGGTAACTGATCACCCTGTACTTTTCACCAATTAGCCTTAAATACTTGTATGCCTTCACTAGTTTATGAAGAGAATATTGGGTATAGGCTTGTACTGACCTCTCCCCACCTTCTTTCCAGATTCTTTTTGGGTCCAATCAGCACACATTTAGGAGGCAGTGAGTCAGGCTCTAATGTTCTTCACGGTGGAAGACATGTTTTCTCAATGTAAATTCACAACTCAGAAGTTTCACTTTCTTCCAACCACCTTATCTCTCTACCCTCCCACCTCAGACACTAGTAAATAAGTAAAATCAGTAGGTGTGCTATATTTGAATGTGCACCTTAAAAATCTATGGATTTTTTACTTATCCTTCTCTGACTATACATGACAACTGATACAGAAAAAAGACCACAAATTGTATGATTTAAATGTAAGTTTTTATATTGATGTTATAAAATGTATAGATATCCTTGTTAGTGGAAACTTATTTTCCATCCAAAAGTATCTTTAAAAAAGACAAAGCAAAACCTAATTTGTATAATGTTGCAGACTTTAAATAAAACAAAAATAATGATTGTTAAGCTCAATTTAATAGGGAGAAAGGATACAAACAAGGAAGGGAACTAACATTTATGTATCATGCATTTTGCCTACCTTAGTATTCAAGCCAAATCATAAGTAGAGCATATTGGCCTGATATAATAGATGAGCGAAACAAAACCAAAAACAGACATGCAGAGGAGTTCAGCAAATTACCCAAAGTTAAAAGGTAATATGTGACAGAATCAAAACTAAAATTCAAATTTATCTAAAAGCAGAAAGAGTCCCTGGTATGTTCACTATCATGTTGCCTTCCAATAGAAGCTGTAGAAGTAAAGCTAGGTAAAATATATCCAAAAAATTTAAACCTTATATGCTAAACCAATTAATTTAACTGCAATTTGTGTTATGATTCAGATCATGTTATTAGAAACTGCATTTGCCATAACCTGAATATATAATTTCAAGTTGCCTGCTTTTCTAGCCAATGCAAATTATCCTAAATCACGGTAATGATTATATAATAGCCATAATTGTTTTAATGTGACTTTTTTCATATAATGACATATGCATATGACTCAAGCATAATATATTTTCCCTGAGGTTGGATTTAGAAGAAAATTTTATTTTCTTTATGGCTAAGTAATTCCCATATTGCTTGCTGCTTATTATGACTCAAAAATAAAAAGTACTTAACGATGAAACATTATTTTCAGAATTATAGTGATTCCCATTTACAGGAGTATCCTAAATTACAAAAACAAAAACAAAAACAAAAAACAAAAACTTTAAAAATGTTATGAGATACAAGTGATTTGGTTCATCTATGCAGTACATATTTATTTCATCATGTAATGCAATGGCCCCTACACCCTAACTCATTTTTCAGGTTTTCCTGAACACCTGTATTGTCATTTTTTCTCTCCATTTCTCCGATATAAAGAACAAGTACCATTGCTTCTGCCTTCTCCCTCTAGACTTTTGACACCCTTAGACTATTGTTCCCCTTAGCTCTATTTCAGATGGTGCACTTCTAATGTCTTACATTCCTCACAGCATCACTCATGCTGCTCTGGTCTTACTTTTTTATTTGCAGCAATGGCCATATTCCTGGAGCCGACAGTATGTACTTTTGGCAATGTCCACTCATCTTCACAAATAAGGGAACTGGTGTGACTGTAGGCTTGAAGTTTCTTGGGTAAGGGAGGTGCTCATATTCTGGAAGATTTTTTTTGTTAATATGAGTCTCCCTTATACATGATACGTATATAATTGACTACGATTTTAAAAAGTCTACCAAAATTGATCTTTCTGTCTTTGGCCTTTACTATCCTGGATATTTCCAATTAAAGTGGAGAAACACTTAAAACTTGGGAGAAACAAAGCTTACCATCAAGCATAGCACCATAACATCCACCGTAGGCTCTTTCAATGCAATGATATCACCGATGCATAGATTCCTTCCCACAGCAGTTCACAATACCGAAGAGCACTAAAATGATCGTGATAAAAATCGAAATAATCCTCCCTCGTGTCACTTTATTTTTAGGTTTTGATTTCCACATATCCATGCATATGACCTCATGTTTGAGAAAAACAGTTAAAAGCTGAGAGGCCTAATTATTAGTCATTATAATGCTTGTATAATCAAAATCATAAACTATCACCGTTGATAATTGACAAATGAATAATTTGCTGAGCTCATGTAATTTTTGTAATTCTGATTTGCTCTTTGCTATCGCTTGTTTGTACACTGTAGGTTTTAAATCTTTACATGGCCCTACGATCTGGTTTACTTTGTTTAGTCTTCTGTCCTCCATTGCTTTTCTTTCACCTTATTTGACTTACGTGCAACCCATAAAAAATTATTATAGTAGTATTGAGAATAATAATTTTAGGTCTCTACCGTAAGATGAAAACTAATATTGCAAAAATAATTTTTGAGCTTAATGGAGCATATGGGAGTTTTTTTTAGATCACGTTATTTCTTCTATCCCAATTCCATGCTGCTCTGCCTTCCCTCCTATTTTTCTTTCTGGAATTATTTTTTAAAATCGTTTTAATTGTTTTTCACAATGTCTATGTCAACTTTAGCATTTTTCATAGAATTATGGCCTTCTTTAGTACAGAATTTTTGTTTCTTTGGCGGGTTTAGTTTACTTCTATTTTCATAACATCTATGTTTTTCAGTCTTCATATATATTTGTTAGTAGAGTGTGTAATATTCAGTATTTAATAAGCAGCTATTCAGTGATCATAAGTTTTTTCTTCACACGGTAAAATAAGCTTTTTGTTTCTTTGTTTTAAATTTAATGTGGCAAAATAAACTAGAAAAGTTTTGTATGAAAACACTGGTACCCAACACTCTATTAAGGTGTAGGTTGGTTAAAAGTTCTGGTCAGGTGAACAAAAGAATGGCATTCTTATCTCATATGAATGTCAGAGCAAAATTTTAAAACATTCCTCTAAAGCTATAATCCTAGGTGTGTGGTTATTTTACTTTCATATGCGTTTTAAAAAGTTTTTTAAGTTAGACCCAATTTATTTAGCTTGTTCATTAGAGTATACATTTCTGATAGACTCTTTAATCAACTTTATTTTCCTACCACATGCTATTCTAAGTATGAATATTTCTGGATTTAGTAAAAAAAGGACATGTAAACTGCAGTGTTTACTTTCTAAGCATTATATGTAATTTTGATTTTTATTGCGTTTTGTTTTTAACATATTTATGTATCAAAGATATATTTAATGAATTTGTTTCATCTCAGCCCTCTAAATTAGGTTTGTTAGATATTCACAGTTTTATAGAATAACACTAGAACAGGTTAAGGGCTTTGTCTAAACATATATCTGTCCTCTGATTAAATGTATAAACCATCCTATTTGTAATGGTGAATTTTGTAGAGTGAATACATACTTTCCTGGAAACACATTCTAACCTCAATTGATAAATCCTTTATTTCTAAAATGAATGTATTTCTCCTAACTGAATCATAGTTTACAAAATCATGTTTGTAAATTTAATTTGAAGAATATTTGCTGATTCCCACAGCAGATAATTATGAGTAAATTGGACATAGTAACTAGGGCGAATGAATGATTTTGCACAATATATATTTTTATAGCAATATATAAATCACTAAAAATGCTCATCAATAATTTGCTTATAGAATCATGTGTCAGCATTCCATTAATTACTTTTTTTGGCTTATGTTCATATTTGATGTTAGAAGCATTATTCACTTATTTGTTTCCTAAAAGCATAATGCCAGAGCACAGAACACAAAATACAAGTTTGTTAAATAACTAAATTGTATGCAAGAAATTTATGCCTTTGGGCAAAATTTGAGAACACCCCAAAAATATTTCTTGACCTGAGAATCTGAGGATGGGTTAATAAAATTATTAGCATAGGATCCATCTCAAAAATTCTTGCTTTTCAAATCATCATTTCACCTAAACAGTACTAAAATCTATAAGAGGTATCTGGTAACAGTAAAACTAGAATTTCTTTTATCTTACAGAAACCATCTACCTCCATCCCCATTTTATCTAGATAGATAGTGTTTCTAGATTTTTCCCTTTTGATTCCATACAGAAAGAAAGAGAGAGAGAAAAAAAAGAAGTCACTCCAAAATAAAAG